GGCACAGCCATCCCTGGTGGTCCGGTGGTGGTAAGTTCTGTAGGGAGCAGCTCCCCTGTCCTCCCGCGCGATGCTGTGTGGAGCGTTGCCATGGTAATGCGCGGCAACGCTCCACACAGCTTGCTCACGGGAGGACAGGGGAGCTGCTTCACAGATCCCTCCCCCTGCCTCCCGACACGGAAGCAGAGTAGGCGACTGCCGTTTTGGGCAGGCAGGTGACTACTCTGCATTGATGGCGAACCTATGGCCGTGTGCCGACAGAGAGGGCACGGCGTGCCATCTGTGGCACGCGTGCCATAGGTTCACCATCACTGAGATAGACTAATGAAAGTATTTAGAAAATCAGGCAGACTAGATGGGCCGAATGGTTCTTAAATGCCATCACACTCTATGTTTCTATGTTATTGTTGACATTGTAATCTTAGAAAAGCCTAGGTCACTAAGAGGTTAATTCAGCCCTCCCAACATACCAAATGGACACTGTAATTTTAGGGGTGTTTGTGAATGTGTGTCCTGGAGCGGGCTGTTAAGAATTGTGGGTGGTTAGGCGACTTTTGGTCGCCTAACTGATGCTGGACCTCTTTACATTAGGACATCTAGCGTCACCCAAAATCCCATAGGAAAGAATTATACAATGCTTTCCTATTAGGGAAGTCCTAATGCAATTGCATTGCTCGTGCACATGCGTATTAGGTCCACCCCACCAACAGGCGGAGGAGGAGCGGAGCCAGAGACTGAACCTGTGCTGAGGGACATTGGTGCTATCAGGCAAATGATAAAGGGGTGCAAGGCAGGGGGGGACTCTAGGGAGCTGTAGTGCTAGGTAAACAACCTTTTTTCATAGTACTATAGTTTCCCTTCGAGCTAAAGTTGTTTTGATGCCTACAGAGTCCTTTTACACTAAAAAAGCACCCTCTGAAATTGCTATGTTTACAGCTGCAGGGTTAGTCCCAGATAGACCTGGCACCCAGACCACTTAATTGAGCTGAAGCGGTCTGAGTGCCTATAGTGGTCCTTTAATGATAACATATAGGCGAATAAATTGACCACAAACAGTAGTGAGGGTCATATACATTATTTGGAACATACATTAATGATGGGAGTTTTCAGACTTTGTTTTAGAAGGTGGATAATCATAAAGAGTTGTCACTACAGTCCGTGGCTAAACAATATCCCCAAAGCTAGTTTCTAAGAATTAAAAGGAACTGCTCAGAATAAATAATTTTTCAGGAAGAAGTAGCTAAATTACTGAGGGTACTAGACTCTAGTAACTAGAGGGAAAAATTATAAAGGTTTTAAAAGAGGCATTGGAACAAGTGAATGATATAGAAATATTGGAATTACTTAAAGAGAAAGAAAAGACCAGTAGACCAGATAAAGAAGATCAAGAGGCCCCCCTCATTTTTTATTTTTCAGCAACCATAACATATTGAGAAGTATAGTCAATATATATTGGTTGGCGCCGGCAGAAGACCCCTTGGTGCCACCTTTTTTAAGTGTGGTGCGAGTCCACCGGCACTAGCTCCACCCCCAATCCACCTCCTTGGCTGTGATAATCAGAATTGATGATCTCAGCCAATCACAAAGCTTTTACAAAGGAAAGTATTAGATTGGCTGAGATTGTCAATTCGGATTATCTCAGCCAATGAGGTGGTCAGAGGCAGAGCCGAACGCCCCCCTGCCAATCAGAATCCCCTCATTGAGATGCATTGATTTACTGTGTGACATGTCATGATTCCTTTTTTTTCCAGAAGTTTGGTCCTTAAGGGGTTAACATGGTTTCCATTACTTTCCCCACTACTGAAGTAAGGTTGATTTAGGGCATTGTAGCAGTTTGACAGTTAAAATTACCCCATAAATGCATACCATTTGTGAAAGAAGACACCACGGGCTATGTCATATGGTATATTTTGAGCTTTATTATACAGTTATGTTAGCACCAATTTCTTTCAAATTTTATCATATTGTTTTATTTTTGCATTTTTATAAAACACATGTATTTTAGTGGTTAATTTTGGAAACTTGATATATGCTACTGTAAATTAAATCACTAAATTATTCTCAGCTAGATTTCCTAAAGACAAAATGACCCCCTTTGTACACCTTAGCCAGGTTTTTGTGAAAAAAATACAGGGCTAAAATCATACCCGGCCCAGTACAGTTTTTTTAAAATGGCAAATTGACAGTGGGTCATTGTTTCATTTGGGGGCATTTTAGTGGCTTATATATTTAAATTACGCCACCAATGCATACCATTTACAAAAGTGGACACCACATAAAATATTATAAGCTTTATTGGTGACATTGTGTTACCATTTTGTTTCAAAGTTTGTGGTATTCATTTTTATTTTAACATTTTTACCTACACATAGTATTTTTGATGCTTATTTTTTAAATCAGCAACATCTTCTCAGTACAAATATACCCCATATGTATATCTTTGGAAAGTAGCGATCTTAATTTTAATCTTAATTTTAATCCCAATCTAAATCCGTAATCCTAAACCAAGCCCTAATTCTAAACCAAATGCTAATCCCAAATCTAACCCTTAATCAAATAATAAACCCTTACCACAATCCTAACCCATAACATAATCCCATGTGTAACCCTAATTATAACCTTAATCCTACCTTTAGCAATAGTGTTAAAATGATTCCCCCTGCTGGTGTCAGCAAAGCAATTCCCTTGCTATTTTCCCCGTGCTGACCCTAATCCTAATCTGAACCATAATCTGAATCTTAATCTGAAACATAATCCCAATACTATAATTAATTATAAACCTAATTTTAAACATAAATTTAATAATAAACCCAATAATAAACCTGATAATAAACATAGTACTTATTCTAAACCGAATAATAATCCTTAATTGTAATCCTTAATTTAATCTTAATCCCAAAGGTCACCCTCTACTAATATCAATACCGATATTAGTAAAGGGATTTTAAACTAAAACAGAGTGGCTATTTTCAGTATTGCAGTCTCCCATCTCTTACATTGAAGACATATATTCCCAATGCAATGAGATCTGTGCTGGGCAACTGAAAATGCCCAGCACTGATCAGAATGGCATTGGGGCATAGAGGGTGACCCTCCAGGGTCTGTTCAGACCCTGGTGGTCTCCCAAGCTCCATATCACTTGAAAGAATGACTGTAACTGAGCTTGCTCAGCTGCAGTGTTATTTGTGGGTTTAAAGGGCTACGTGCAGTGCTGACTTTCAGCACTGCATGCAGCTCATCAAAAAGCCTGGGGCCACTAAAAATGGCCCCAGCTGACAGAGGGGACCCCCAGGTTTCTAATGATACCTGGGTTTCCTAATGTGAGCAGGGATTTAACCCTGCTCATACTGCATTGCTGTCTATGGGGATTTAAATCCCCATTTAAACAGCTGCATGCCATCTCACTTTGAGCTCTGCATGCAGCTCACTTGTCTGTCTGGGTCCAGTAAAAATAGCCCCAGCTGACAGAGGGGACCCCCAGGTTTCTAATGATACCTGGGTTTCCTAGTGTGAGCAGGGATTTACTCCTGCTCACACTGCATTGTGCTCCATGGGTATTTAAATCCCAATTTAAACAGCTGCATGCCGATCTCACTTTGAGCTCTGCATGCAGCTCAGCTGTCAGTCTGGGGACATTAAAAATAGCCCCAGCTGACAGAGGGGAGACCCAGGTTTCTAATGATACCTGGGTTTCCTGGTGTGAGCAGGGATTTAACCCTGCTTACACCACAATCTAGATATAGGCACCTAAATGCCTATTTAAGGAGATAAATGCCGCTGACTTCCAGCACTGCATGTAGCTCATCAAAAAGGCTGGGGTCACTAAAAATGTCCCCAGCTGATAGAGGGGAGCCTCAGGTTTCCATTGATACCTGGAACTCCCTTGTGTGAGCAGGGATTTAACTCTGATCACACCAAATTGTAATAGTGGGGATTTAAATCCCCATTTAAATGCTTGCTTGCAGTGCTCACTTTGACAGCAAACAGAGCATCAGTCAGTCTCGGGCCACTAATTCTGGCCCCAGGTGAGAGAGGGGAGCCCCAGGAATCAAATGATACCTGCTGGAAAAATACTGCATGACTGAAATTTTCCTTCATGCGTCCTTAAGGGGTTAAAAGAAGAAAAGCTACCACAACAAGAGGGCAAAGGTTTAAAAATAATATCAGGAAGTATTACTTTACTGAGTAGGTAGTGGATGCATGCAATAGCCTTCTAGCTGAAGTGGTAGAGGTTAACACAGTGAAGGAGCTTAAGCATGCGTGGGATAGGCATAAGACTATCCTAGATATAAGATAAGGCAAGGGACTAATGAAAGTATTTAGAAAATCGGGCAGACTAGATGGGCCGAATGGTTCTTATCTGCTGTCACATTCTATGTTATTATTGACATTGTAATCTTAGAAAAGCCTAGGTCCCTAAGAGGTTAATTCAACCTTCCCAACATTCCAAATGGACACTTTAATTTTAGGGGTGTGTGTGGATGTGTGTTATGGAGCGGGGTGTTCATAGAAACGTTAGATGTCTTAGTAATAATTTATACAACTAAAATATAATTTACAATGTATCTTATTTCCACAGACTGATTTCTAAACACTTTTATTGTAATTTAAAGAAACAATACTGTGAGTATTATTGCTGTGGAGCTCTGTTATACACTCAGACACACCAACAATATGGAGCTCCTGGAAAAGGAGGACGGTAGCATAGAAAAGAGGGATTTAGGTCCAAAATAGGGACTGTCCCTCCTAAAAAGGGACAGTTGGGAGAATGACATGTGCAGTTAACCAGGATTGTATTTCCCACTAATCTGTAGCACAATATGCAGTATGGGATTTGAAAACATCTGCTTGGTTGGACTGAAAGTCAGATCATGTTCTCTCTCAGTATGGCTTTTTACATTCATTTTTTTGCCCTCATTCAATATGGTTGAACTTAACGTGAAATTCAGTCACATGACTAAGAAGTCACAGTTCACATTTAAGTGTAAGTACAGCTGCCTGCTCGTACATTATGACTTCCTGGCAAACCTCCCTGTTAGGTGTAATCTATGTTACAAAACACAAAGAACCAAGGTTATTGTTCAAAGTACAAAAAAAAAAAAAGGAATAGCGCTGTGATTCAGATTTTTCAGGACGTCCAGTCAAATAGGTAAGATATTAAGATATACGGCATTGCCAAACAGATAATTTTTATTTCTGCAAAAATAAATGCAATACTGTATATTGAATGAAATCAGTAACAAACGTACTGGGTGTCAAATTACAATGTACTACATAGTTTGCATTGTGCATAATACTATGTTGAATATTTATGGATATTTTTTATATTTTATATTTATATATTTTTTAGAAAATGTATACAGTTGCCAAATTGTGCCCCTAGAGTCTAGACTGTTTGGACTATAGCTCCATACATTCTTTGTAAATGGTTTGCAAAGCATATTGAGAGGTATTATTTAAACAGTGGCATGCAACAATGTTACAGAATTTAAAGGGGCACTCTTAGGATCAGAATAAGTACAGCTTAATGTAGTAGTTTTGGTACAAAGAGGCTGTCGCTGCGATCTGACAAATTTAAACACTGCCTTTTTTTGAGAAATGTATTAAAGGTGTTCCTAAGGATACCTCTAATGAGAACTGAGGTGCTTCGTGTTACAGTCATGCAATATTTGCAAGACCAACATTTGGTCTCCGCATGCTTTGCATAAAGATGCCGAATGCTCCACATTGACATGCATTGATATAATTCATGTATGTTAGGAGATGATGGTTGGTGCAGTGCGTCTTTGTGCATGTCCACTAATCCTTCTCTATCATTAATGATGATCTAAACCAGAGGAGGACCAGCGACTCTGCAAGACTGGCATCATGTGAGATAAAAGATAAGTAAATCTTTTTTAGTTTATGGTGGGGGGGGGAGGACATCTAAATAGTTCCATTATAGCTTTGATGTTAGAAAAAAACATGTCTTTGAGTATGTACAAAAGTTCAAAATCTTGTTTTTTTTCTTTAAGAAATTTTTTTTTTTAATTGTTGGGGTTTTTCACTTTAGTGCGAATGTTGGTCAAGTGGGTCTTTGTCTGTTTTAAGGGGGCATTGCCAGCATTGGGCCAAAATAGTAGATTAAAAGTCTCCAATTTCTTTATTTTGGCCTGAAATGTTGTCAGTCATTTACAATTACCATTTTAGTGAGTAAAACTCTAAGGGGAATTAAAATTATAAGGATCATCAAAATATGTCTCTGCTTAGGGTGGTGAAAATCCTTACAGTGGCCCTGCTTTAGTGAGTAACACTATCAGAGTTCCACGAACGATTCAGGAGCCTGGCAGAGTACCTTAGACCTAAACCCAAAGCAAGATAAGAAAAAAATAGATATGATATGCTATGATATGATAAGCCTTATTATTAGACTTGATAAGTAGTACTGATGAATAAAACTGGGATTTTATGGTGGGGGAGGTGAGCTGGTGAATAAGATGAGGATCTAGTAAATTAGATGGAAGTACTAGTGAATATTATAGGGGTTTATTTTTTTTTTTTAAGGGGCTTTCCTTTTCTGATTGTTTTGCTTTGAATCTTTTACAAACAGCATTGGAGAGGATAACTTGGCCAAGATAAGCTGAGTTTTTTAGACCATTGATTTAGGCGATATAAGAAAGCTAAGTTTGAGACCAGTTTATGCATTTTGTCCTAAAATTTACAATTTCATTTTAAGTTCCATTTAATTCTCAATTTGAAGAATAAACCTGTGAAGTTTTAGATTATATTAGTTGATTCTTTATTGTTGCATTTTTTATTTATATTTGTCACTGTCTGTTTCAGTTAACAATGTCAGACTAAACATTTAAAGGATCACCATAGGGTCATGAATACAAACATGTATTCCTGGAATACAAACATGTATTCCTGACCCTATATTGAAAACCCACCATTTAAGAGGCTTGCAAAATAGCAGATTTTTAGCCAATCCAATGCTTGGCTAATCAGCACCTTCTCATAGAGATGCATTGAATCAATGCATCTATATGAGGAAAATTCAGCGTCTCCATGCAGAGCGTGGAGACACTGAACGGCAGGGCTGCTTACTGTGCAGACCTGAGCCAGAAAGCCCCTCCAGTGGCCATCTAAGGAGATTGAGGTGTCCCTAGGGGCAATGTAAGCATTGTCATTTCTCTGAAAAGGCAGTGTTTACATGAAAATGGTGTAATTACATTAAGCTGTAGTTCTTCTGGTGACTATAGTGTCCCTTTAACAAGTTTAATATCTTGAAATTCAAATGTATACACTGCAGAGCGACGAGCAGTGTAAAACATTGCAAATCATTTTGAATGAAGGAAACAAGAAAAAAAAAACATGATCAATAGTAACAATTATTTATACTATTCTAAATAATTTATTTATAGTATTCCAAATAATCTGCACCATGTGCCATCATCGTCTACACACTATGTTGATGCTAGTTACATTTTATTGGTGCTGAGAAGAATTCTATCTGGATTTCCTCACAGTAAGATTGCACAATCCTTTGGCATGACTGAAATGATGTGCTAAAACAGGAATTACTGAGAGCTTTACTAGGAAATCACTAATTTTAAGCCAAAATACCCCAAACCAGAGATTTTTAAATTATTTTTATCCGTGTTGTTCCTTTATCCATTGTCCACAATTCCAATTTAAGTGCAATTTTCCTGAATATTTATCTTTGTGTATGAGAAAATAGAGCAGAATATAAAATACATTTTGTAAATACTGATTTTTTTTCTCTCTCACATAAGTCCATCTTTGCTATGATGATCATGTGTCATGGGTAGAACTGGGGTACATTTGTTTGTGTTTAATAGGAGCTATGCTCCAGAGCAGCAGCGGAAACCTTTTTAAGATCAGCAGCTAAAATTGCTGCCACCCAAGAAAAACGTATGTTCTTGTGCTGGTTTTCCCCCCAGTGGGCCTTCTCGTGACATAACATAGTATGGACTTTCACCCATTGATGATGACCATGCCAGCACTCCTAATAATTGCAGCGAATTGAAATGCAAAATGCATAACTAAAGTAAAAATAGCTGATCTGTGATTATTTGGGGAATTGGTCTAGGTCAGCTATTTAAGCCCCGATTGTGCAATCTGAATTTTAATTTGCTACAAATCAAAGAATTTATTTATACCATACACTCCAGCCTTGCAAACTTGTAAAAAAACGTAGGCTCATGTTTTCAAATAGTAAATACTGGTTACATACAAGTGCATCTATTGATACAATTGTGACAAGTCCCAAAAGCTTGAGTTAGTCAAGAAACAATACATGAATATTTGAGTGAAAAGGAAGTAATACTTACAGTATTTAGGTTTTTTTTTTAAAGATGGATTACGAGAAGATCGCTGATGAAGTTTCAAAAAAGATTTATTCGTACAGTCAAGATACAACAGGATGGAAAAAATTGAAGACTTCAGTAAGTATATATCAATCACTTTGCTTTAGAGCATGGGTGCCCAAAAGGTAGATCCCCAGATGTTTTAAAACTACAACTTCCATCATGGTTTGTTATTCTAAATGTATTCTTAAGCATCATGGGAGTTGTAGTTCTACAAGATATAAGGATCTACCTTTAGGACATCCCTGTTTTAGAGAATGAGTTCATTCAGTGTGTCTTTCTCTGGCTCTGCCTCTTCTCCCCAATCCCTCTCTGTTGGCATTCCCCAAGGGTCTGTCCTTGGTCCCCTATTGTTCTCAATCTACACTGCCTCCCTTGGTAAACTCATCAGCTCCTTTGGTTCCCAGTATCATTTCTATGTGGATGACACGCAAATTTATCGTCCGCCCTGATTTCTCACCACCCCTCTTGACTCGTGTCTCTGACTGCCTCTCTGCTATTTCCAACTGGATGGTTGCTCATTTCCTTAAACTACACCTGTCTAAAACAGAACTTCTGGTCTTCCCTCCCTCAAGTGTTGCTACTCCCTTATCTGTGTCCCTCCAAGTCAATGGCCTACCATCCGCTCTACCTCTAAGGCTCGCTGCCAAGGTGTTATAGGTGACTCCGATGTCTCCTTCATCCCTCATGTCCAATCAATCGCCAAATCCTGCCACTTCCATCTCTAAAACATTGCCCGCATCCGACCCTACTTAACACCTGATACGGTAAACGTGCTTGTCGATGCTGCTGTTCTTTCTCACCTTGACTACTGTAATCCGCTTCTCAGTGGTTTACATGTTCCCAACTTGCCCCGTTACAGTCTATTAAGAATGCGGCGGAGAGGCTCATCTTCCTCTCCGCCCGCACCTCCCACGCCTCCCCCCTTTGTCAGTCTCTACATTGGCTGCCCATAAGATATAGGACTCCATTTAAGATCCTAAAACTTGCTTACAAGTCCCTACACAAGGCTGCTCCCACCTACTTATCCTCACTAATACACAAATATGTCCCGCCGGAGACCTACGTCTAACCTCTGTTCGTACTCCTACCTCTGATACTCACCTTAAAGACTTTTCTAGAGCTGCGCCATTCCGATGAAACGCCCTTTCTCTCTCTGTTAGACTCTCACCCAATCTCCTCTCCTTCAAAAAAGAAAACTTACTTCTTTAGGAAAGCATATCAATTAAACTGTGAACAGCTTTTCCTCCCTGCACCCTGATTCCTCTCCTGAATACTATCCTAGCAACCTACTTTACTACCCTACCCTTACCTTTTGTGTCACTATATCCCACTCCCTCTAGAATGTAATCTCATTGAGAAGGGCCCTCAATCCCTCTGTTCCTGTGCGACCAACTCATCTGGTTACAAATATGTGTCTGTTAGTCCACCCATGGTACAGCGCCATGGAACTTGTTGGCGTTTTATAAATAATAATAATATATATTTTTTTACCATTCTTCCCTTTCTATTTGCTTTTCTTCAGAGAGATGTATTGGTTTCATGGAAATCATCAAATGATTATTTGGGAAGCATGTAAGTATTAGTAGAAAAAAAAAAAATTATGATATAAATAGACATAACCACTACATGATAAACAGTATACAATCAAAAATAAAGTAATGTAAAATCATTACAATTATATATAAAAAATGTTCATGTGCTGTCAATACAAGTTTGCCATTGTGTGATCTGGCAGAGATATAATGCAAATTCAATTTTTATATATATATATATATATATATATATATATATCTCGATTGAGCAGGGTCCTCTTCAACCTATTGTTCCTGTAAGTTTATTTGTAATTGTCCTATTTATAGTTAAATCCCCTTTCATAATATTGTAAAGTGCTACGGAATCTGTTGGCGCTATATAAATGGCAATAATAATAATAATAAATAATAATATATATATATATATATACATATATATATATATATATTGTGATAAAGTGAAGGCAGATAGGCCTTTTAACCCCAGGGGAAGTACGTGTAGTTTGTGTGTTGCACAACACAAAGCTTTGTTTAGTTATGGGCCCCTGGGGTGGAGCATTTGGAGAGAAGGGTGGGCCAATGCTCCACTCCACAGTTTAGTGGTTTTCTGGGGAGACATAGATCCAGGCCAGGGTTTTTTGGACCGTCTCCAACCCACTGCTCAGCTGCAGTTAATGAGCTGTTGCAGTGGGAATAAACCCCTCCCGGCTAGGCAGGAAAAGCAGAGGGATTGCTGGCTTCCTCCCAGGAAGCAGGTAGGAGAGAGAGGCTGTTCTCTCCAGATAGAGAGTCAAGTAGACTAGGCACTGGGAGTGCAGAAAGGAAGCAGTCAAGGCTGGCTTGGAGCACTGGGAGTGCCGGAGGAAGCAGTCAAGGCTGGCTTGGAGCACTGGAAGTGCAGAAAGGAAAGCAGTCAGGGCAAGGCTGGCTTGGAGCACTGGGAGTGCAGAAAGAAAAGCAACAGGCTAGCTAGAGAGTGTTGCTATCTAATAAGGTTGGTGCAGTATGTTTTTGTTAGTTTAACCCTGATAGAGAGGGTTATTCAAAGTGAGTCAGTGCTCAGACGAGCTAGGTTTTTGTTTAAAGGGAAACCTGTTACATTTGTTTTTCTTGTGCTGCTGTCTTTGTGGAGTTTAACAATAAAGTGACTGGAAATAAGTTGCTTTAAAAGACTGTGCATGTTTGGGCCCAAGAGGACCGTGCTACCTGCAGACAAGGATCAATATATATATATATATATATATATATATATATATATTCTAATTTTAAGATATAAAGCTGCTTATATTGTCATCATTACATAGTATCTTAATAAATGCTCTCAGTATTATTCACTAGTTTTGGAATCTCACCGACCCCAGCATGTACAGGCTGTCTGAGAGTAATAGGAGTGTTATTGCTGTCAGCATGTTCAGTTAATGTCAGATTTGTGTAGAAATTGTGCTGGTTTTTCAAAACTATAAACGCACAGAATATTGGCACCAGTTATCGTCAATCGACACGAAACGATAATCTGTATTGACTCTGGGGAAAATGATTTTGGTAGAACCCTAATAAGAACAACAATTTTTTTTTTTTTTTTTTTTAGATTTTTAGATGGCAGTTTAACATATTAAAAACAGCCGAGCCGAGTCCTAAGAGGTGGCTGATAAGGAGGCCTATCTTAGGTGGAACAGTATTCTGGGTGCAGCTAAGAAATGCTCCCCATATCTTGGGAAACAGAGCTGTTAACCAGCTGATGCTTTTTAGATTTCTTCTGACATGGTCCAGCACCAAGAATTGTCAGAGGTGCCGGAGTGATCGCTACAGAAGCACCCATCACAGAGCTCTTGCAAGATATGTCTGTCATGTATAGGTTCTGTCTCCACTCTCTTATATACCTTCTTTATTGTTTTGCAGGACAGAGATGGCTTTATTTTGATGTAATATATAAAACTTCTGAAAGTGAGGATTGGCCTATGTTGTATAATGGGGCATTACAGCAGCTCACACATTTACATTAATGAATAAAGGCATACCATTTCCAAATGTGGACACCATCTGGTCACTCACATATCAGCTATAATCTGAATGCTAAACCTTACCATAGCCCTAAACACTAATTTTATTTATAAACTCATCCCTAAACATTAATTGAAAGCATAACTCTAAACAGTAATAAGCCCTAACGAAACCTAAACACTAACCCCAACAACAGAACCTTAACCATGAATACTAATTGTAACAAAGTAAACTGTATAAAAACAAAGTAAAGTGTGCAGAAACCCTTAAAATGACATAAAACACATCAGCTCTAAACAACTGTGTGGGGTTAATCTTAATCTCCTCACCAGTACAATCAAGTAAGGGAACAATAGTAGCAGTGGAGTGCTAAAGCAGGGGTTATCTTATGCTTACAGACACAGTGTCGTATAAAAGGTATTAGAGCAGCACATGTTAAAAATATAAACAAACAATATATAGTGCAGATGGTCTAGAGACACATGGAGGGTAAAGTGCAGATAAATAGAAGCACTCACATGGAGTAGAGCCTGATGAATTTAGGACTCAATATATGCACATGTTTGTCTTTTGAAGGTAGCAACACACCTTTCTTTCTTAGGATAGCGTCACTTAATATCGAGAACAAACAGGATACGATAACAGTGCAGCTTGTACAGCCAAAATCTGATTTTAATTTGCAAGCCCTATACTTGACCCTGTAACTTTCCAAAACTCCATAAAACCTGCACATGGGGGACATCATTGTACTTGTGGGACATCACAGCATACAAATGTGTTTTATTGCAGTAAAAGCTAACAACATTATGAAATTCACAGTTAAATGCCATGCGGAACTTGGAAAATAACACAATTCCCTAATTCCTTACTCTTTAAAATTAATTCATATTAAATTATGGTTCATATACAAATATGGTATGTGAAGATAAAGCCCTGTTTCTCCTGAACAAAATGATATATAAGTGTGGGTGCATTTAATATGAAAGAGATGAATCATGCTTGTAGCTCAAATTCTAGGTTTTGTTTTATTTTGGTCAAAACTTGTACAATTAGGGATTATTCTAGCTTTCAGTGAACGAATAATCTAAATTTTATTAAAGACAGGAGGCGAATATTTGCTTATCTTTCTTTACTGTAACTCCCAGCAGCAAAGAAACAGTTAACCATGTTGTATGAAAAATTCAACCAATCACAACACATCACAGGAACAATATAGTGCCATCAGACTCCTCCCACTTTCTCTTTCTTGGTGATGCCGGTCAGTAGCAGAGTCAACCATGTAAACTGGAAACATATTCCGAGGCTTTAACTCGAAGTGAAGTCAACCATGTAAATGTGTAGTCGATCGAAATAACCTGAAGTCTTCACACTAAAAGAGAAGAGAGACTTCGTGAAAGTATGGTCTCTTGGACAAGAGAAAAAAATATAATTACACCCCCTATTTCTAACGATAGCTCAGATTATCTGGCAGAGTTAAAAAAGGACATGTTGGTACAATGTGATGTAGGATCATATCTACTAGTCTAACAAATCGTATACCTGCAATTTAAGGTGCAAGAGAATGTACCATACAATAAGCATGGACCAGGAGACTTACCTTGAGGGTGGGTTCCAGAGTGAACGAAGGGAGGGAAAATATTCGCCTCCTGTCTTTAATAAAATTTAGATTATTCGTTCACTGAAAGCTAGAATAATCCCTAGTTTTATGGCAAGACAGGAGGCTTCATATTTGCTGTTTTAACGCTCTTGAATAAGGGAACAAGCCGCATGTGGTGTTGGTTTAAAATAAAAGGTTCGAAAGGTAGATTCCCTTGACCAATCTGCGCAGGATAAAATATCCGCCAGTGAGCTGCCGGCGCGAAAGGCAGAGGATGCGGCCGCTCCCCTAATGGAGTGAGCTCCGAATGATCTATCAATTCCTGCCTGGGTAAGCAACCATCTTATCCAGCGAGCGATAGTGGGGGAAGAGACCGGTTTGTGAGGTCTAACGTAAGAGAGGAAAAGAGGGCTGGTAGGAGAACGTAGAGCGGCAGTGTTCTCAGTGTAACAACGGGTACACAGAGCCACACAGAGAGCCGGTCTGTCGGGAAAGTACGGATAAAAAACTGATGAGGAATTTGTCTTAGTGCGTCTAGTAATGGTAAATCTGACACCATCTGGCGCGAAGGTGACAGCGTGTGAGTCAAAGGCTTGAACGTCAGAAACTCTGCGGAAGGACACCATACACAGTAACAGGGCCAGTTTCGCAGAGAGTTGGCGAAGGGATAAGGCCTCGTTAGGTGGCCAGGACTCCAACAGTGCGAAAACCTGAGAGATATCCCAGAATTTAGAGTATTTGGCAGAGGGTGGTCTTGTCAAACGAATGCCGCGTAATAGCCTGCACACTGAAGGGTGTTTTCCAACCAAGGAATTGTCAATAGTGTCATGGGCTGCCAAAATGGCGGAACGAAAAATATTAAACGATCGGTATGATTTACCTTGATCGAAAAGAGATGATAGGAAATTTAGAATGGATGAAAGAGATGCTGAAACGGGATCGAGATCCCTCTCCAGACACCAGCTGACTCAAACTCTCCATGCAGAGAGATAGGTTTGTCTGGTCCCTGGGGCCCACGAATCCCACAGGAGTGTTTGAGCAGTGCATGAAAGTCCTGTGACATGCCAAGCTCCCCTAAAACTGTCCAGGCTACCAGCTGAAGATGGTCTTGTAGGGCGAGCGGATGGTAGTCGCCCGTTGGGTTCCTGAGGACCCGAAATGAGCGAGGTAGGAGGATGGGATAGTCTGTTGAAAGTTCCAGGAGGGTGGGGAACCACGTCTGGGCCCTCCATAGATGAGTAATTGTCACAATCTTGACCCTTTGTGTCTTGACCCGGTGGAGGGTCCGTTGAATCATCAAGAAAGGAGGGAAGGCATAGGCTCCGCTCCGTGGCCGAGGTTGGAGAAAGGCGTCGACTTCCAGAGACAGAGGGTCTGGTAACCAGCTGAAGAAGTCGTCTGTCTGACGATTCAGCCGAGACGCGAAGAGGTCGAGTGTGAGGGGCCCCCGTAATAGGTGCATGTGGTGGAATAGGAAAGGATCTAATTGCCAGTGACGTGAAAACCAGTCCGCGACTAAGTTGTCGGGTCCTGGGAGATACTCTGCCCGAATGGACAGATTCCTGTCTAAGCAGAACTGATACAGATCATTGGGGAGGTCTGACAGAAGTTTGGATTTGGAACCTCCGAGTTGGTTTACATACTGTACCGCGGAGATGTTGTCCATCCGAAGTACCAGAGAGCAGTTGGAGGCTTCCTTGGCAAAGCTGCGGATCGCGAAGGATCCGGCAATGAGCTTGAGACAATTTATGTGGAGCGCCTGTTCTGATGGGGACTAGAGACCCCCTGTGTATGTTTGGGGCGTAAGTAGTACCCCAACCTAAGAGGCTGGCATCGGATTCCAGAATAAAATCTGGTTGAGATCCGAAAATCGCTTTCCCATTCCAGGCTTCCATATTGCAAAGCCACCAGTGAAGTTCGATGAGAACTTCGTCCGTCAGGAAAATGAATTGATCGTAAGAGGTCGAGCGATGCAAGTAGAAGGTTTTCAGCCATTGCATTGCTCTGTAGTGTAATGGCCCTGGAAAAGTAGCCTGAATTGATGCGGATAGGAGACCCAGAATGTGTGCTAGGTCGCGGAGCTGAGGTCGTTGTGAACTGAGTAATTTTTGAATTTCTTTCTTTGTTTTTGATTTTGGAATAGAGCAGTTGTAGAGTTGCCTGAACCAAATCTATTTGGAAACCTAGAAACTGGACTATCTGAGATGGTTCCAGATCTGATTTCTGGCAATTTATGACAAAATCCAGGTTTTGAAGGAGGGCAGAGGTCGTGTGTGTGTGTGTGTGTGTTTGCGAAGTAATTGTTGGTCTTGGGCCATAATCAGGATATCGTCTAGATATATGATGGAACGTATTCCCTGAGAACGGAGGAGTGCCATCACCAGTTTCACTAACTTGGTGAAACACCAAGGGGCGGAGCAAAGTCCGAAAGGGAGGCAGGTGAACTGCCAAATTTCGCCTTGCCATAGGAATTGGAGGAAGGCACGATGATTTGGTGCGATTGGGAGCGTCAGGTAAGCATCCTTGAGGTCGAATCTGGAGAACCAGTCTCCCACGCAGAGCAGGTCTCTGAGAAGATGGATACCTTCCATCTTGAAATGACGGTATATTATAAAGTGGTTCAATGCTTTGAGGCTGATAATGGGACAGTGGTCTCCCGTCTTTTTCCGAACAAGAAATATGTTGCTGAGGAAGGTGCAAGGGAAAGGCGAAGGTTAGATCGCCCCTTTGTGTAATAGTTTCTGTAATTCTGTGTTTAAGGTTAGAGTGTCTTCTTTTGACATCTCGGAGGAGGAGAGTGTTGCACGGGGTGTGTGAAAGTCTATTTTGAAACCTCTGACTGTATGAAGGATCCAGAGATCCTGGGAAAGTAGTTTCCACTGTTGGAAAAAGAATGTTAATCGACCTGCGATTGGTACATGTTTCAAATAAGCAAAGTCCATTACCTGAAGCAGTGCGTCCGGGCAGGGATGCAGAGCCACGTCCTCGTATCGAGCCTCTGGTGTTGAATAGCTGTCTGTGGTAGGGTCGTGTATATCCTGTGGACCAATAATCTGTGGGTCGGGGCCTGTAGCCTGTAAAGGCTGCTCTACTGGTAGCTCGGCCCCTGGAGCAACCAGCTGTCCCAGAAAAACGATGTGTTTGGGAGCGGAAGACCCTACGTAGAGAGGACTGGGCTTTATTGAGTGTGGTAAAGACCGAGACATGCTTGGAGAGGTCTCGCATGAAACTGTTACCGAAAAGTAGACCATCGGCCTCTGGGCCTAGTTCCTTAGAACTCAAGTCTACCAATTTGGCATCGATTTTATAAAGTGCCGCTTTGCGCCTCTCAATCGAAATAGCCACATTGGCGTTGCCCAATAAGCACAGGGCTCTCTGCGCCCATTCTCTGATAATGTGCGGATCAAGTTCACCGCTAGTGAGTGCCTCATCTGCTAATATAAATATTTGAATTATAGGACCTGAAATGTCCAATAGTTTGTCTTGGGCCATTTTCACACCCTGCTCAATACCTTTACGAGGGTCTTTACCAGATTTCGTCAAGTAGGTGACAAGCATGGGGTCGAATTCAGGGGTAGAGGCAACTTCGCCTGGAATACTTGGTCTCGGGCATTCAGTTTATTTCTTATTTCCTTTTCGAGGGGCTTGCGAAGCCACATTTTACAGAAGTTAGCAATATGGTCCGAGGGGGCCCATTCTGCTGAGCGCGGGTGATGAATCAGCCTTGGGTCAAAAAAGGGAAGGCCCGAGGCATCCAGGAGGGTGTCTGAGTCAGGCACTTTAGATGGAGGGGTACCCTTGGAATCCTGACCCGGGAAGGTTTCTTTTACGAACTCTGATGCTGAGGAATCCTGGGGCGCATTCACCATGGGATCCTCATCAGAGTAGTTGGGGTCATAATCACTTTAAATATGGCCAGTCAAATGAGAAGTAGAACCCTCTAGAGGGTCTGTAGCATCCTGCGTAATGTATGGGTGGGAATGTTTATAGACCTTTGCAGGAGCTTTGCCTTTGCCCGCAGTAGAGCTATTCCCTTTCCAGGGTCTCTTGCGCGGGGCGCTGTCTTGGTCAGAGAGATGGGAGTCCTCAGAATCAGAGGGTTGTCGTGTAGAGGGATGAACCTCTTTAGGAATGGACTCCGCGATAATGGAGAAAAGCCATTCCTTGAGTTCGGCAGAGATCGTAGGGTCTTGGCGATCTGACATAATGTCTGTCTCAAGATATATGCAAACTATGTAAACAAATTATATACACAGAGTATAAGTGTTAGGGTTGTCAATTAAAGATGAGGCAACTCAATTAGAGTATGTGAGAGGTGGGGGTCACCCACGAGATGTCAAAATAGTGGGGGTCACCCACAAATGCTTGGCACAATAAATATTAAAGGGCAATTAATAGAAGGTCACCCAATAATACAGATGGTGAACAATATAGATATTGTATAGTCAATGAGGTGGGGGTCACCCACTAAAAAACACCAATAAAATATATAAAATATGTACAGTGAGAAATGGGGGTCACCCACAAAATAAACCAGGTGGTATCAGCCACACAGATATTTTACACAGTAGTGTGTTCAGTAGGTGGTGGCAGCCACACAGATATTGTACACCGTTTGTGTTTTAAGTATGTAAGTGGGGTTCACCCACAACAGGGAAAGAATGGTCAGCCACACAAAGTTTGGCAAAGTATGTTTAATAGTTCAATGTCAGCCACACTATAAATCATACAAATTGGGGAGAGGGGTTCACCCAGATTGTAGCAGCTTGGTCCTGTGTGGAGCAAAGCCTGCAAAAAACAGATGAGAAATAGATCAGTATACAAGCTAGGCAACAGATGTTCCCACAGGTTTGAAGAGTTCTTGCATGCAGTATTGCTAGTAGGAGCCGCGGGAAGACACACTGCGGTTGAAAATGGCCGCTGCGAGATCGCCGCCGTTGAAAGGGCTGGGAAAAAAACGCGTCACAAGGGAGACGTGAGTAGGCGGGAGGAGGGTAAAGGCGGGAAACGGCAGCCGCGGGCTCATGGGAAATGGAGTCCGTAGCTGATGAGAGAAATGATAATGGGCCGCGGCTCTTCCTCTGAGGATAGAGCCGCGGCCAGCTGAATGAAGAGAAGATTTCGAAACCTCCGTTTATGTTAACCCGGAGGGCGCCAAAAATTAAAGGGGAATAACCAATTTGAAAAGTATACAGTTAAATGAAAAAGAATATATGTGAAGAAAAAAGTGACAAAATATTTAAAGGGGAAACAACTAATTTGAAAATGAGTATATATGTGTAGGAAAAAGGTGATTTAAATTAAAATAAAGTTTGCTGAGGTGAATTAGATGTTTGCAAGTAACAAAACATATAAATAAAATATATAATTAACTTAAACCCGTAAGGCAATGTAATTGGAGTAGACTCACCTGGGAGGCAAGCAGCAAAGAAAGAGGAAGTGGGAGGAGTCTGATGGCACTATATTGTTCCTGTGATGTGTTGTGATTGGTTGAATTTTTCATGCAACATTGTTAACTGTTTCTTTGCTGCTGGGAGTTACAGTAAATAAAGATAAGCAAATATGAAGCCTCCTGTCTTGCCATAAAATTGCCTCTGTCCTTAGGAGTTATAAGTACATCAGTAGATGTTCAATTACAGGTTTGTTTGTTTTTATCTTCCAATCCAAGATATCGCGGAGAAGGAATAGTCGAAGAAACTCCAGAAAGAATAATTCCTTTTCTCTATCTACCGGAGTACAGATCCAAGTGGGACAAAGCACTGGAATCGTACAGTATAGTGGAACAAGTTAACAAGGTGATTCTTCTAACATCCCATCATGTCGTATGCAGGACAGCATTGTCTGTTGTACAGAAAGAGTATATGTCATCTAATAAGGAAAGTCAAAGGTAACCAGATAATTAGGTCTTATAGTTTTGAGAATTTACCTATGGATGCACAGGTGTTGAAATGTAAATGACTTTGCTTAAATGTTTTAGCCACGTTCTAAAACAAGAACAATCGATGTGGAAACCAATGGAATCTCAAGTGATTGCTCTACATTTAAAACTTTAACTAGGACTGCTTAGCAGATACGTAGTGGTTATCTATAATGAGTGTTTGTTTGTTTTTAAAACACTCTGAGCTCAATTTGATTTGACGCAACAATAGAGCCAGTATGATACTAATGATAAATTATACTAATGATAAACACTGAATATTTATCTGTATAAGGACTACATGTCTTTCGAAATCTAATTAGTCAAACTGGTTTGCCACTCTTTCAGACATTATTTCACCTCTCTGCTCTGAAGAGCATTTATTTAACACAAGCATGACATCATCTTTAAAAAAGAAAACAAAAAAACCCATAACTAAAGAGATTAAGACTAATTGCCTGTAAACACATTTACAAACTCAACTGCTCTACCAAGGATGAAGGCTGTGTCTCCGGTGTTTTATTTAAACACAGTATAGCTCTAGATGATTTTAATTTATTTCATACTGTAACCCCAAGCAATAATATCAAAGAGATGTTCATTGCCACCATTCCTCAACAAGTAAGAGCACTTATCTTTACCTTTTCTTGAATATTGTGTTAAAGGGATGTGTTATAAAAGTCAAGGATATACTGCTGAGTTTCTTTAAACTGTGAGATGTGCTGAGTTGACCTATTAGTTGCAAAACATTGCACGAATGTTTGCATACCAGATGAAAAAGAAACGTACTGTTTAATGAATAAACCAAAAAATGTGTTCTGCTTGATGTCATTGGGCTCATACATTTTTTATTTTAAAGGACACTTTCATCAGCCAAAGTTTGACCCACAGTTATGGAATGGGTCTAATATCTCCAAGGGAATTTATTGATCTGATACATGTCAAGCGATATGATGGAGGAGTCATCACCACCAACTGTAAGTTGACACTAACAACCAATGTTTTGCACATCTTACTTTTTTCCTAAAATGATGCTATCCTATTGGGCTGTCTTTCCATGGCTTTTGGATTATCCTTCTCTGCTTTGAATGTTTTGCACCTGCTCTGTCATAATATAGACACACTTTGGGCTTCAAGAACAGCAAACCTGACAAGCATGTTCTTCTGTCCTGCTATTTTTTTCAATGGCATACTCTCTACATATAGTATAATTAGTACATGCAAAGCTACCATCATAACACTGGGGACCTATTATAAATGACTGCAGACTGCCTATCCCCATTCTGCATACACCAGGGCTGGGCTAGGAATTGGCGAATGGAAATTTTTATATGGAGTGTCACAGTGGGGGTTTATTCACTAAACTCCAACTTGTAGTAAATTCAAATTATGATGGCAAACACGATGGCAAACACGATGGCAAACATAAAGGCAAACCTTTATTTTGCACTTGGATTTTATTTTATTTTTTAAATTCTTTATTTATTCCAAGACAAGACACCACATGAAATCATACATTACAACAGGGTTATAAATAGAATTCTGAAGACATATCCAAGTTCGCACGAGGTGAACAAGCGTGCGTTTTTATAGAAACAAACTTCAACATAGTGCAGCAGACTGTTGTGTGTCAACTGCTGTAGTCTGTACATCAGTGGTGCCCCGCCAGGTTTTTTGATAAAGGGTTAAAAAGTGAGAAGCTGACCAACCATTGTGAGCAGGACCCTAACATCCAGTGCCTAGATTTGTCGACCTATAGAGTGCTCTGGTGGGATCGTAGCAATCGAGATAACTAACTCAGCTTTTAGTGTTACCAGTTTAATGGTATTACCTCCTGTGACTCATCATATGAAAGGTAATGCCCTCGCAATTGTTATGGTCGAAATGTAAGTGTCGGTCAGAATAGAGAAGAAAGTAGTGTTAGGAGTGATAGAAGTATGCATTTGGATTTTAAGGAGAAAAACCCACCACACCATTCTTCCAGAAGCTAGCACATATATTTTGTGTGATGAGCAGAGGATGACATGAAAGTGGAAATAAAAACAAAAGTGAAAAATGGGGTCTATTTTCTTTTTTTCCTACTTACCTTAGTCAGACCTGTGTATTACCTGCACTCTCATGACACATTAACTTTGTATCACAACTATTCTATCAGCGTTATTCACTAAAGTGAGAATTCAAAGTTAAGGTCAAAATAACCGAACTGAAAAAATTCCAGGTTGGCTATTTTGGCTTTACATTTGAAATTCACTTGGAATTCTCACTTTAGTCATGTATCATTTCTCTCAGAAATGCTTTAGACTTGAGAAAATGTAGCTCTCCCACAATCTTGTCATCCAAAATTCTGTTAATCCAATAAAAAAGGTTTTACAAAAGGGGTGCCCAAAAGGTAGATGTGTTGAACTACAACTCCCATGATGTATGCATGCCTTTAGAATGACAAAGCATCATGGAAGTTGTAATTTTAGAATGTCTGGGATCTACCTTTTGGGCACACTTGTTTTACATTTGCGTCACTGGACTAATACAGCTACACTCTCTACATCCATCTCACTTACAGACAATGTCGCTGACATAGACAAGATCCCCGAAACACACAGATAAGCTCAGTGACGTAGACACAAAATTAGTACAGACAAACTCTCTGACACACACTTATTAAAGACAAACTCATTGGTATACACAGACAAAATCTCTGACACACACGCTTACTAAAGACCAAACATATTGGTATACACAGCCAAGGTTTCTGATACACATACAAGATCAGGGCCTGGGATGGCGGACTCGCGCAGCACTGGAAATAATGTAAGTTTTATTACCTTTTAAGGAGGTTAAGAGGGGGCATGTGACCTAAATGGTGTTTTTAACACTTTAGGGTCAGTAATACATGTTTGTGTTCCTGACCCTATAGTGTTCCTAATATAGCGACAGAGAAGCTTTTGTAAAACAAACAGTCCTTCATGACATTGTGGATAGCAAATGTATATGTTTTACGGTATCTTGGTTGAATCCTGTTTTTATTTAATTCTTTTTAAATTGAACAGCTATAAGTGTGGAATGCGCAAAATGCCCACCATCTACCTCATATGTACGTGGTTATAATAATCCATGTGGATACATTTGTTCGCCCTTACCTGAGTAAGTAGAAGAAAGAAGGGAAACATTGTTTCAATTTATATTAAATTTGTCATATATATATTTTTTTTTTATTTCAATAGATTGTTCGTAGCAATGCTGCCATATAAGTACAGGTAGCCACTTCTACAATTTTATGTTTTGTATAGTGTAGAAAAAAATGTGAGTATATATTTCTATATTTTTGCACTTATTTAATTTCTTTCTGTATCCTGCTTTATAAAAGAAAAAAAACTACACTTGGACATAACTGTCACTTTAAGATATTACCTGTTCACAACAGTAGTCCAGTGATAATTTGGGCTGCATGAACAACTTGAGATTATAGAGGAAACACAAAATATTGTCACTTAATTATTAGTCTTGGATACTCACGCAAAATAATGAAGCCACATGGACACAGTTTATATGCACTGCTATCACCCAACTGAAGCAAATGTATATGGTCATACTTTATATATCATCATTTCTTGACAACGAAATTCATAAATGTTAGATACATTATAAAGGTTATTATAAAACTTTATTTTATAGGCAGGAAAAATACAGCATATAAGAGCCTGTCTTCACATTTACAATCTAAACTGGAATATTATATAATCTGTTTGGAGCAGGGTACAAGGTCAGCTGTAAAGGTCCATGGCTTTCACAGAAAACGGAGGCTGTGACTGTGCTGGAGGTTACTGCACTTTAATCAGCCATATGAAGATTATGATTTTGCTAATAGTTATAAAGCTGTTTGGTATAACTATGCAAACTTTGTCTACTATATCAGATTTTAATGCTTAAAGGGATACTGTAGTGCTAGGAATACAAAGTTGTATCCCTAGCACTGTAGCTCCCTGTGCCCCACCCATCCCTGGCGCCCCATCCCCCTCCCGCACTGTAAAGGTTAAAACACCCTTGCTGTGCTCACCCGACTCCATCGCCAGTCTCCCTCTGTGCTGGGTCTGTGCTCCGTCTCCTACAATGCCACCTGACACGGGGGCTAATGCGCCTGCGTGGTGAGCGCTGTGAGTACATAAGGCCCTACCCATAGGAAAGCATTGCTTTCCTATGGGGATTATACGGATACTGGATGTCCTCATGTAGACAAAAAGTCGCCTTGCTACCAGGAAGTGCCTCTAGTGGCTATCTGATCTACAGCCACTAGAGGCAGTCTTAACCTTGCAATGTTATTATTGCAGTTTCCAAGATTACGGGACAGGGACATTGCACCCATACCACTACAATGAGATGAAGTGGTTTGGGTGCCTATAGTGTTCCTTTTAACTTAGAGATCTGTTTACTAAACCCCAAGATGCAGTTTAGCTGATGATCAATTTACAATTTGTAGGTTAAAACAGTAGAGCTAGAGCAAGACACATATACTGATCAGCCACAACATTAAAACAACCTGCCTAATATAATGTAGGCCCATTCAATGTTGCCAAAACAGCTCTTGCATCATGGCATGGACTCCACCAGACCTCTGAACATGTCCTGTGGTGTCTGGCACCAAGACATTAGAAGCAGATGATTTAAGTCCTGCAAGTTGCAAGGTGAGGCCTCAATGGATCGGATTTGCTGTTCCAACACGCCACAAATGGGGAATTTAGAGTCTGAGGTAGCACCTTGAACTCTCTGTCATGTTCCTGCTGAAATCCTGCTGAAATAACCCACTGCCATCAGGAAACACCAGTGCCATGAAGGAGTGTACGTGGTCTGCAACAATCTCTAGGTAGGTGGTACATGTCAAAATAACATGTACCCAAGGATTCCCAACAGCACATTGCTCAGAGCACAAAGCTGCTTCCACCGACCATACTTTCTTCCCATAGTGCATCCTGCAGCCATCTCTTCCCCAGGTAAATAAAAAAGGGCACGCACCCAGCCAGCTACCTGACGAAAGAAAATGTGATTGATCAGACCAGACAACCTTCTTCCATTGCTCCATGGTTCCATTGAAGGCATTTTCGATGGTGAACAGGATTTCAGGAACATCGGCCTTCTGACCAGTCTGTGGCTATGCAGCCCTATTCACAGCAAACTGCGACGCGCTGTGTGTTTCAACACTTTTCTATAATAACTAAAATAAACACAAGTCGTGCGTTTGAGCGTAGACTTGAAAAGACACTAGAGGGCACCCAGAGTAAAATAATAATTACCAATCCAGAAGGTAAAGGTTTTAGTTATGCTAGACACCATAAAATATCAAAAAGAAATAAAGGGGTTAAATCCAAATAACATGATTTATTTCATATTTGCACACTCAAACAGATACAAATAGAATACAATATATAGATATAATAGCAGTGCCAACCAAATCCGAAACCTTGCACTATAGTAGGTAAAAAAAGAAATAACCCACTGGTTGCGACTTCTGCTACTGTATATACACTGCAATAAAAATGGTGATCGTAAGGTCTTGGCATAACTGCAAGTCGCTTAACGCATTTTGTACCATTGTGGTCGGGACTTCTTCAGGAGTCAAATTGCAACTGTATCCTCCGAAGAAAAGAAAACTATTACAAACTGTGTTTTTTCTACTTCAGTTTTCTAAATAAAGAGGATAAGAGAAACATGCTGCCTTTTGACTTTGGATACAGTTTTCAATTTGACTTACGACCAACATTTTTATTGCACTTTAAGGTATATAATAGCCCCCAGGAGCCGCGACCAGTTGGGTTTTCTTGCATCTTTTTTACCTTCTGTAGTGCAAGATTTTGGACTTCGTTGGCACTGTAATGTGATGTGATTGAGTGTGTAAATATGAAATAAAGTGTTATTTGGATTTAGCCACTTTATTTCTTTTTGATATTTTATGGTTCACAATGGTAGAAAAGTGGATCACAAAAAACAAACACTGACAAAACTGTCACAATGATCTTTGGAACAGTACCTAAATAACACAATTCCCATCTATGCATCAAAACAAAATCAGACAGCACAATGACCACCATCCACTCTTTCAAATACTTGGGTATGTTGTTAGACCCCAATCTATCTTTTGGCCTCCACATAGAAAAACTTGCATCTAAACTTTTTCCAAAACTAGGTGCCCTGTACAGAAACAAATTCTGCCTAAGCCCTACAGAAAAGGTAAAAATTGTACAGCAAATGCTGATGCCAATCATTGATTATGGGGATGTAGTATATGCATCTGCACTGCAATCCCACATTAATAAGCTTAATACATCGTACAACTCGTTCTGTTGCTTTTTTGCTACAATGTAAGTACAGGACCCACCATTGTGACATGCTAAAAGAACTAAACTGTCTGTCGCTGGAATCCAAACACTTTATCTTGTGTTTAAGAGCTTTTCTGGGGAAACTCCCACCCTACCTGAGCAGAATGCTCTCCCTGGCTGTTCCCACCTCTTATAACCTCCTAGTACCAGCACTTTAATTAGTCTACCTCAATACAAAAAGAAAGCATCCTGATCCTCCTTTTCCAACAGAGCGCCGCAACTGTGGAACGACCTCCAGCACACTTTCTCAAAACATATCTCAAAACAGAATGTACCTGTCATGGCTGATTATATATTTCCTACCTGTTCTATGTTAAATTTTGTATATATTGTTTTTGTATTTTATTGTACCCTATTGTATCAATGCAATGATTTGTGGACCCAGGACATACTTTAAAACAAGAGAAATCTCAATGTATCTTTCCTGGTAAAATATTTTTATAAATAAATAACTAAAGCCTCCAACTTCTAGATTGGTAATTATTATTTTACTCTGGGTTTCTAGCGCCCTCTAGTGTCTGTTCAAGCCTAGGCTTGAAAAACTCACAACTTGTGTTTGTTTCTAGATTAAGCACACTGTGCAATACAGGAACCTAAAACATATAGATTCTTTTTCAGAAAGTGTTTAACCCCTTCACGACCGAGGACGGTCCTGAACCGTCCTAACGGTCAGAGGTACTTACCTGATCGCCGTCGTTCCCCCGGCGGCGATCAGCGTGGCTCCGGTTGTGGGGAGACTGCCTGCAGCCCAGACAGTCTCCCCATGGCGGATTAGGACCCCTGTGGCCATGTGATCGCTTAACACAGCGATCACATGGTCACAATAGGTGTCCATTTGTCTGCCTGCAGGGGGACTGCCTGTGCTGACAGGCAGTCTCCCTGCTAGTGTAAAATCAAAAAATAAAATAAAGTTAGTGTTAATAAAAAAAAAAAATAATTATATATGTGTATATATGATATATAGACATATATATAATGTCATACTAAGTGTATTTTTATATTAATATGTACTTATATTAATATAAAAATACACTTATAATTAAATTACACACGTGTATATATATAATATATATAATAACTATATATATTGTATATATATTATTATAAAATATAAATAATAAGTAATTTAAATTAAATAAAAATTTTTTTAAATAATAATAAATTTTTTTTAAATTATATAGCTATATGAAATTTTATTCTAACTGTATTTTAAAATTAATATATATATATTTATATCAAAATACACTTAGAATGAATTTGTATATATATCTATGTATATAAAAATAAATAAAAATAATAAGAAATATACATATGTCCATATACAAAATTACATAAATAATTATATAAATATACACGTAGACTTCAAATATATAAATATGCATATATATTTATATTCTACGTGCGTATTTATCTAATATTTTTACATAATTCAGTAATTTTATTGATTGCAATTTGAGGGACCTGCCTGCCAACCCAGGCCGAAATTCCAGAGAATTTAATTTGCTAGCACTGTATTTTACCCTGTAACGTTCTACGACACCCTAAAACCTGTACATGGGAGGTACTGTTTTACTCGGGAGACTTCGCTGAACACAAATATTAGTGATTCAAAACAGTAAAACATATCACAGTGATGATATTGTCAGTGAAAGTTACTTTTTTTGCATTTTTCACACACAAACAGCACTTTTACTGATGATATAATTGTTGCGATACGTTTTCCAGTTTTAAACACTAATATTTGTGTTCAGCGATGTCTCCCGAGTAAAACAGTACCCCCCATGTACAGGTTTTATAGCATTTTTGAAAGTTACAAGGTCAAATATATGGGTCAAATATTTTTACATTGAAAATGGCCAGGTTGGTTACGTTGCCTTTGAGAGCGTATGGTAGCCCAGGAATGAGAATTACCCCCGTGATGGCATACCATTTGCAAAAGAAGACAACCCAAGGTATTGCAAATGGGGTATGTCAAGTCTTTTTTAGTAACCACTTGGTCACAAACACTGGCCAAAATTAGCGTTCAATTTAGTTTTTTTACTTTTTTCACACACAAATATGAATGCTTACTTTGGCCAGTGTTTTCGACTAAGTGGCTACTAAAAAAGACTGGACATACCCCATATTGAATACCCTGGGTTGTCTACTTTAAAAAATATGTACATGTGGGGTGTTATTAAGATATGTATGACAGATAATAGTGTTACAATGTCACTATTGATACATTTTAAAAATGTATGTTTTGAAACCACAATATCCTACTTGTACCTATAGCCCTATAACATGCAAAAAAAAAGCAAAAAAGCACGTAAACACAGGGTATTTTTAAACTCAGGACAAAATTTTGAATCTATTTAGCAGTTTTTTTCATTCGCTTTTGTAGATGAGTAAAAGATTTTTCAAGTAAAAGTAAAAAAAATTTATTTTTTTTCAATTTTTATTTTTTTAATATATTTTTTTTTTCAATATTTTTTTTTTAAATTAAAATACATGAGTTTATATAAATAATGGTATGTAAAGAAAGCCCCCTTTGTCCTGAAAAAAACAATATATAATTTGTATGGGAACAGTAAATGAGAAAGCGGAAAATTACAGCCAAACACAAACACCACAAAAGTGTAAAAATATGCCTGGTCGCAAATGTACAACATCGCAAAAAAGGTCCAATCCTTAAGGGGTTAAGAAGACCTTGCAAGTGATATGCAGGTGTGACTAGGGCTGTATAAACAAATTGATTGCACTCCTAAATGGCAAAAAACGTAGCAGTGATACTGCAGGGCCATGATCTATACACCAAAACTGCTTCATTAAGCTAAAGTAGTTTTGGTGCCTATAGTGTCCCTTTAATATGAGAGTACATTTTTCAGCATAATATTTTATTCTTATTTCTTATTTTAGTTGTTTATTTGTACGTTATTTTTATTTGGGGTTAGAAAGGCACATGTGTTTCTTTTATTTATGAATTCTAGGCAGATATTTCTTAAGGAAACACTTGAAGCACCACAACTAGTACATCGTGCAGTAATGATAAAGGTGCCCTGGTGCCTCCCCCAATGTAATAGTTAATTTAGCTGGGGTCCCACAGATGCCTATCACTTTTTTCATGGAGAGCTAGAATTTAGCTCTCCTGAACAAAGCTCTGCTGTGCAGTCAGCAGGGTCAGAGTGTCTGCTGACTGTGCTCAGCCAATGAGCTAAACCTTGCACCAACAGGCTTAGCTCAGTGGAGAGAGCTTCAGGTTGTCATAGTAGCAGTGACCGGTGTCTAGCAGACCCCATGTACGAAATCAAACCATTAGCAAACAACTAAACTAGTAAGATTGGGTGGGGTCTATAACCACTACAGTGTGTGTAGTGGTTGTAACTAGTGATGTCCCGAACGGTTCGCCACGAACGGTTCACCACGGACTCATCATTGAGTAAACTTTGATCCTGTACCTCACAGTCAGCAGACACATTCCAGCCAATCAGCAGCAGACCCTCCCTCCCAGACCCTCCCACCTCCTGGACAGCTCACTAAGAATGCAGCTTCACAATGAATGTAAAATTGATGCTGTCCAGGAGCTGGGAGGGTCTGGGAGGGAGGGTCTGCTGCTGATTGGCTGGAATGTGTCTGCTGACTGTGAGGTACAGGGTCAAAGTTTACTCAATGATGAGTCCGCGGCGAACCATTCGGCGAACCGTGCGGGACATCACTAGTTGTAACGGCTACCCAGGTAGTAAGAGGGTATCAGCCGTTGGAGACGTCCTTTTCTTCCCGGCAAGTTGCTGTATAGTAGTGGAGTCGCTTATTCCCATCCACTGGATCCAAGGCAGGAGTCAGGTAGAGCTCTTAAAAGAGCTAAGTGATTAAGCTGCATATCCCCTTTCAATAACGAGACAAGGCTAAGTTTTGAAGGGTCAAGAAGACTGAATTTTAATGGCAGGTACTCTCCTTTTATGTGATTCTGCCCATGCAAGGGAGACACCCACATAATTAACACAACAACCAATAAAACATAAGGTACATCCCACACATCTCCTCCCCTCAGATAAGCTTGTAACCCAATTAACAAAGACACATTTTTCCCCAAGTTTTGGATGTACCCCAAATACTTGGGGTACATGCATAAATCCGGATAGCCCTATTCTGGGGGACCAACATATTAAGAAATCAGCTCATTCGGTTCAGTGGTTCGGGAGATATGGAACTTTAACGTTTTGACCGACCGCACAGGCAAAGTGGCCGAAAATAGTTCCATGAGTTTTGGCCTTGCGGTCGGTCTTTGTTCGCGTGTTAAAAGTCACGAAAGGCTTGCCATCCGTGCGTAACTCGACGTTCGCCAGAATCCCCATATACTACTAAGTCTTTCTACCGAACGGCAGGGTGTTCGGTAGTTTTGGCACGAATTCCCGGTGCTATGGAGGTCTCAGCGGTGTTCGCCTACTCGAGTGTCCGATTTTAGTTCTAGACACTCGACGTCAAAACACCGCTGTTCGGGAGTTAAGATGGCCGCGAACATGTGTAAAAGTCCCGAAATGGCGGCCACCCAGGCATTTCACAAAGCGTTCGTGGGTTTCCTATGCAGACTGTATTTGCAGATCATGGAGGTAAATTACCCATAATTAGGTAGCAGGGTGGTCCGGTGTTCGGTAGTTTACATTCGTATGATGAATGCTTTAAAAGTCCCGAACTGCTGTATAGCAAAATCCCCACGAAAGCAGGTAAGGATCTTCAATTTGTTACAGTGGTTATGGTGCTTGGAGTATTACTTTAATGGGACTTATTCACTAAAAGGAAATTGTGGAGGATTGACAACTAAGCTGAAACTTAGAAGCCATAACAGTGCGTGATATTGTTTCTAATTCTACTATTTCAGCCTAAATTATAAACTTGGTATTCAACGGTCCGCAGCTTACTTTGGTATTGAATAGAAACCAATATGTTAATCAAAATATGACCATGGACTAGCATTATATATTAAGAGCAATTCTGGGCCCAAATGTTTATTGTCAAGCAGTAACCATGGGAACAAGTCAAATGTTTACTTTTAATGTTTACTTACTTTACAGCATTATCCATTATTTTATTTATAGCTCTCCTTTTTAGTGTTACAACTTGCATTTTACTCATAAATAGCCATTACATTACAAAAACTAACAAAATATTTTTTTTTTCAGAAATCCAGCTCATTGCAAATTTGTGGTTTTCATTCAACCTGAACTTGGTGGTTTGCTTCCTCGTTCTGTGGTGGAGTCTGCTCTTCCGAACAATGTAGTTGGTCTTGTCAATGATGTGAGGATTGGTTTGAAAAAGTATTTACCATAAATATAACAATTCTCTTTTGGTGGCTTTTCCCTTGTGACTGAAAAACACTGCAAGTTGGACAAGCCATGCTGCCCAAATATTGTGTTTCATTACGAGAGATTGCCAATTTGTCTAGTAAATTGAAAATTCCAAAGCAAGTTACATATATTTAGAACACAATTCTAAAATAACCACATAGACCTCAGAATGCATGCCCCAAAATAAAAAACTGGTAATATTGTGTTATTTCCTTAGAAATGTTCTCATCTTGCAATTTAATTTACAAAATAACAAAATTATGCCAAGATCAGTCTGAAAGTCAAGAATGAAAACAAATGCATTCTTCTAAATTAAAAATGAACTTAGTCAGGCAATACAGGATAATTGTACATTAGTCGAGACATCATAAGAGCTGTGTCTAGTTTGTGTTAAGCTACCTATTTGTATTGCATCAGTGGTAGTGTCCTCTGCGCATTATTTCTTGTGATGGAGTTTTTTCTAAACCAGTCGTTAAACCACTGTTCTAATGCATGATTTTGATGGCCATTGTGCAGTACTTGAACCCAAATTTTAGCAACACAGGTGCCTGAAATTAGTAAACATTAAGCTTTTTGACACCTTTTTAAAGCTGCACTGTCACAATTTATGAAATACACATTTTGGCTTTGTTGGAATTTCATTGAAATTCCAACAAAGTCAAAAGATATACAGAGGTAGGGACTACATTTTTCTCTGTATATTTCCTACACCTGAAATGTCTACACACTGGGCGGAGCTATCACTATCTAGAAGTGTCAATCCCCCCTGATGGCTGCTTGGAATTGGCTCTGTCTATGAATACGACCTTGCGGGATCCTCGGATCTCAATGCTGTATTCTCACATATGCACAAGAGTAGAACAGTGACATTGGCTCCTGGCACTTCTGAAGAGGACCCTCCAGAAGAAGATGGCAGAGCCCATGGTGGAAAGGTTCAAGTAAGTAGAACTCATTGCTGCTTGCCCCCCTGGCCACTGGACCCCCAGCAGAGATGTCATTGTTGGGGGATTTGCAAATTCGGCAAAGGCCCCAGACAGTGACAGTGCTGCTTTAATTGAAATCTGTCCTGAGCTTAATTTATGGCTAGTTGCAGCTGCCATGTTGAGATAGAACTCCTACAAATCTCATGCAAAGTGGAAAAGTATATCGTGGTGATTTCCTTTTGAGGAGTCATGACAGTAACACTTCCAGTAACCATTATTAGTCCTAAGATTAAAACAAACATTTGCAATATAAAAAGGTACATAATGCATAAGTGTATTTTAGTGGAAAACAAGTGCAACTCTGGGCTCTGTAGACTTTCACTGACCACTCGACCTTCAATGTCGTTGTCTATTAAAATCTCTTCAGAACCCATCCACGCCAATATTTCCTTTTTAAAGGAACTATCCCAGCATTACAACCATTTTAGTGCACTGTAGTGACGATGGTGACCGGAGTGCCCTGGCACCCTATCTCCATTTTTCAACTGTTTGACCTGGGTTCTGTCAAGTGCCGCAATCCATCTCCACTGCAGCCAGGAGCTTTTGGGCTTAGCTCAGGATGGCTAATAGAAGCTGCTAGCAGGAGCTTATGGGTCTTCTATACTGCAGTGGAGGAGATGAGCAACAGTTCAAAGTTCAAATATTTGATTCACGTTCTCTATAAGTGAAGGAAAAACAGCATATTTCAGCTGTGCATCATAAGTACTGAATCCCTACTGACTTAAGTGGAGAACCCGCAGAAATAAATAGGTGCTCACTCCAGTAGGATCTTTTAGCAGCTTGGACAAAAATGAATTTCTGCAACTTGTGCCTAGTTGCCTCACACACACCATTAAAAAAGGAATCAATTTATTGTATTAGGACACGTGTGTCATAGTCTGTCATGTATAGTCATGCATGTGTTTTCTGTTGTTGACCTGAAATCCTTTGCTATAAGGCTGTAATGTCCACATATTCAATAAAACTTTGGGAGGCTGATCGCCATGGAAAATGTATGACATAACAGCATCCTATTTTATATTGATTCATTTTATGTAAACAGGAGTAACATTCCGCTACTACCTCATGAAAATGGTGCTTTCTCACGTAATGAGATTATTCACTAAACACGAAATTGTAGGGAATCTAAAATTTAGGCTAAAATAGCAGTTTTGGAAGAAATGTCCAACTCGGTTATAGTCACTGCCTAAATGTTTTACACTAAAACTTGGATTTCAGTTCACACAGCTCAGGACACTGTCATTTCCTTGGAGATCATCAGAACAGTGTTAATTGGCATTCTGACTGATTTACCTGTGCCATGGTGACTACAAATCCAGTAGTTTTCAAGATGTGCTTTTAAGGGCTAAATAGAGATTTTAAAAATAAGATGCATTTTTTTAGAACCCTTCAAGCACCATAACCACTACAGTAAACTGTGCTGATTAGGATGCCAGAAGTACCCTGGCATACCCCCCAGTGTAAATTGTTAAACTGTTTTAGAGAAATTTGACTTCTTACTTGGGTTCACCAGGCGGCGCTTCAAGTCTGTTCTTTTCTGGCGCACAGGGCCAGCTGATTGGCTGAGAATTACTAGCTGACACTCTCAGCCAATCAGTTGGCCCTGCACCACTGAGCTTAGCTCAAGCAGAGAGCTTCTCACTGTCTTAGAAAAAAGAAATAGTTCCCAGCAGGCCTCAGGGAAAGATTTTAACTGGTATTGGGAAGGGGGGTGGGAGGGTGTCTGGGTGTTCCTGGCAACATAACCACTGCATTGTGCTTATAATGCTCGGAGTGGGACACAAAAATATGCTGCATCAAGATGTAGAGGCTGTGCTTGTACTATTACAGAGCAAAGTTCTAGAGCAGGTTTGTCTAACTATACCCTTGGTCTAGAAATAGTATTTACTCCAGTTCAGAGATGGTTTTCATTTCTATAATCTATCTAGCTATTTTAGTGAGCATGTGAATTAACCAGTGGTGATATAGCCATAGTATCAGGTTAAATATAGTTTCTGTACTTGTACTTTGTCTATGCCACAATAAATATCAATTTTAATTGACTACAAATTGTGATTTTGTTTGTTTTACTATACAATATATTTTAACACATATTTCCGGTCATTTAAAAAAAAAAAAAAAATTTACTGTCAAGCATCTGACGAAATAAGCAATAACATTTCCACCTGTCTCCCTATCCATCTATCTTATATTAAAGGAACACTGAGGGTCCCTGGTTTCCCATAGCTCAATCCCCACTGGAAGTGAGGCTAAGGCAATTGTTACACACTTTCTTGTAGCCATACCAAGTCATACTGGCAATGGCACTTTGATAGACTGAACATGGTCAGCTGACACGTTCAGCTAATCATAGATGCCTATTGCTGCACAGGTTAATGCTTCCTCATTAAACAAGCCAGCACAGAGAGATGGTTACCTGGGGACTCTTGTTTAGCATTAAAACATCAAAAAACGGTTAATGCTGAATGGAAGGACGATGTCAAGGGACTCTAGACGCTATAACCAGTTCAATTAGATGAAGCAGTTTTAGTGCATACAATGTCTCAATCTCACATTCTTTCTCCCAGATGTTGATAGCTTACAATTCCTTAATTCTTTGAATGCAATAAACAGCCAGAGAATCATGGCAATGGCAGTTCAACAACATCTCGGGGGAGAGGCAGAGTTTGAGATGCCTGCTTTAAGGACTAAAATACAAAGCCGTTACTATGGCTTTTCCTGATGTAGTAGTCTGGGGCAGTGCCTAAATGCATGTAATAAAGAGAAGAAATATCTCCAGGCACTCAGGATGTTAAAGCTGCAGGCAGATTTATTGAAACAGAAAGGACAGCAACGTTTCGACCTAACAGGATCATCCTGTTAGGTCGAAACGTTGCTGTCCTTTCTGTTTCAATAAATCTGCCTGCAGCTTTAACATCCTGAGTGCCTGGAGATATTTCCTCTATTTGCTTTGCTGCTGTGGGATTGCTGGTCCTGCTCCGGAGCACCGGGTGGCTGCTTAGGGATTGATTAGGGATTGAGTGCGGTTCCTACCTACACTTCTGCAATAAATGCATTTAGTGTCATTTCACTTATACAACTTTGCAGGCTATTTATTTACAAGATTAATCATATCTCCTTTGCAACTCCTTTCTCTCAACACAACTGTCAATAAGTCTTTTCTACCCTTCAGGCCCCTCTCATGGTTCTCCTTTCTCTCACCCTATCACCTGCCCCCTTGATCCCATACCACCTTATCAGATCTCTCCCTTCTTGTCTTGTCACATCCTTAAAGGGTTACTCCAACCAAAAACCACTGATTTTGGTTAGCATAACTCCTTCTGTAGTGTCCCTCTCCCTCTCTCCCCCCCAAAAATAAGATGTTTAAACTTACTTTTTTTCCCAAGTCCAGGGGTGGTGGCGCCATTGGCTGTCACTTTCTCAACTCTTTCTCCTCCATCCTCAGTCTTGCTTCTACCTGCTATACAGTATTTTACAGAACTGCTGACTAAAGTTTTTAATGATCTTAGTATAGTCTGCTATTCCATACTAGATATTTTAGACCTCTCTGAGGCTTTTGAAATGTTGATCACACTCCTTCAAACCGTTCACACTCTTGGCCTTTGTGAGACTGTAATAGCCTGGTTCTAATCCTTTCTCTCCCAACCATCCATCATCATGGCCATCTAGCTGTTTTGGAGAAGGACTCTCATAATGCTTTGCTATCTTCTGTTTAACAGGGACTTCAAGTGAATTTACATCCCTGCTCTAAAGGGATATTTCCAGTTGTGCCTTATTTTTTTCCACCATAGTTGTAAGTTTTTATGCAGTTTTACTCTTATCTAAGTGACAAAAGTCTATTGTGGCTAATGGACAGATCTTTTAAACTAATTAAATTTATGTAAGAAAGGAATTCGCACTGCATCTAAAGTAGCCTTCACGTCTGTCCCAAGGGTATTAAGAGTTCACTTAATAGAAAATAGCATTATGTCCCATTAATGAAAGGGCTGGCACATTTCTAAGACAAAGAATGATGATTTAATTAAATGTACGTAATGATACTATGTTCTAATATGCTGTATAACAAGACAAATACAATTAGAAAATTTGATGAAGTAAAGATCGAAGCAAGGCTTTGATGCAGTCATCAGTAAATTAGATGGTCACACTAAACAAAGTTGGCAATGTCGCATTACCACATTTAAAATAAATTAGTAAATGAAGGACTTCACCTTGATACATAATTCATTTTCAGCACTTTCAGAGTGTAATGGTGTTATGGAGACAGGCTCAGGCACCAAGTGTAGTGGTGTTATGGAGACAGGCTTAGGCACTGAGTGTAGTGGTGCTATGGAAACAAGCTCAGGCACCGAGTGTAGTGGTGTTGTTGAGACAGGCTAAGGCACTGATGGTAATGGTGTTGTGGAGACAGGCTCAGGCACTGAGGGTAGTGGTGTTGTGGAGACAGGCTCAGGCACTGATGGTAATGGTGTTGTGGAGACAGGCGCAGGCACTGAGGGTAGTGGTGTTGTGGAGACAGGCTCAGGCACTGAGTGTAGTGGTGTTGTGGAGACAGGCTCAGGCACTGAGTGTAGTGGTGTTGTGGAGACATTCACAGGCACCGAGTGTAGTGGTATTATGGAGACAGGCTTGGAGACTATGGTGAGGCCTAATAGAAAGCAGTTGTTGTTGTTGGGGATTCTATCATAAGAGGTATGGAGCTGGACAACAGTGGTCTTGTGAGATGTCTTCCCTGAGCTACTGCTCACAGAGACAGGAGACGTATTTGTAATATTGTTAGGCGAGCAAAGCCGGAAGGGGAATTAGATGTACTTGTCCATCTAGGGACAAATGACTTAGCTTGCAATGAGGTTTCAGAGGTCAAGGAAGTTTTTTGTGTTTTTGCCAATGATATACAGCATGTTGCTTCCACACTGTCATTCTCTGAAGTTCTGCCTGTGCATAACACTCAGAATGAAAGGCGGATGCATATTAGGGACTTTAACTTGTGGCTTGGTGAATGGTGTCGCGAGCAAGGATTTGGCTTCATTTGTCATGGTAGCTCTGTTTGGAATGGAAATAAACTGTACAAAAAGATGGTTTGCATCTTTCTCAAAAGGGAACAAATGTTTTCAGTGAGCAGTTCAGAGGTTTTGCTAGGATGTATTTAAACTAGGAGGGTCTGGGGGGGGAAAGGTGATAAAACATCAATCCAATCGCTCCCCAAAACAAGGACAGAAGGTGCTTGTAGCAAGTGTGTTAAAAAATTATAAGCTTAGAGTCAGGTCTACAAATTCTCGCAGTTTAGGGAAAAGGATCCATGAACTTGTGGCAATAATGGCAACTGATAATGTAGATTTAGTCGCTCTTACTGAGACATGGTATGAGAAAAATGACAGGAACATAGTAATACCAGGGTACTCTTTGTATAGAAAAGACAGTGAAGGCAAGAAAGGGGGAGGGGTGGCCCTGTATGTGAAGGATAGCATATAATCTAGCCTAGTAAAAGTTAGTGAGGCGAACATAGAGTCTGTTTGGGTTACGTTAGAATTTGGTAATCACACAGTAACTCCTGTAAGTGTGATTTATAGGCCCCCAGGACAGATAGAAGAGTTAGATAATCTACTACTTGAGGAAACAAGTACAATGAAGGGCGAAGTTATCATCATGGGTGACTTTAATCTTCCTGATGTGAACTGGAAAACCAAAACAGCTGTTTGTGCCAGGAGCACACATATTCTAAACTCCCTACTGGGATTATCTCTAAAACAACTTGTTGAGGAGCCAACGCGTAAAGAGGCCATACTAGATTTAGTGTTAACAAATGGAGATTTGGTATCAGATATTAATGTAGGTGAAAGTTTAGGCTCCAGTGATCATCTGTCAGTGTGGTTTTAGACTTTAGACAAAAGTTTTAGACTTTAGAAAAACAGACTTTTCTAAATTAGAATATGTGTAAAGGAGTCATTATCAGACTGAAGCAATTTAAATGGAGTCCAAGAGAAATGGGATTATTTAAAAGTTGCACTGCTGAAGGCAACAGAAAATTGCATTAGGCTTGTCAGTAAAAGCAAAAAATTTAAGAAACCACTGTGGCACTCCGCAGATGTGGCCAAAATAGTAAAAAAACTAGAAGATAGACAGATCTATGAGATTAGACAGAAAGAGGCTAAGCAAGTTATAAGAGCTTCCAAATCACACACAGAAGAGAAAATAGCACAGTCAGTAAAAAAAGAGTGCCAAAACATTGTTTAGATACATAAATGAGAAAAGGAAAGTAAAATAAGGATTATTTAGATTAAAAACAAAAGAAGGAAGGTATGTAGAAGAGGATAAAGGTCTAGCTGACTGCCTTAATGAATATTTTTGTTCAGTATTTACAGATGAAAATGAAAGAAAGGGGCCTCAGTTAGGAAAAAGGACAAAGGAGTAATTTGTTACATGTGAGTTTACAGAGGAAGAGGATCTATTTCAACTGTCAAAAGTAAAGACAAATAAATCAATGGGACGTGATGGAATACACACAAAATTATTAAAAGAGCTGAGTGGTATACTAGCAAAACCATTAACAGATTTATTTAACCAATCATTGTTAACAGTAGTAGTCCCAGAAGATTGGAAGTTAGTGAATGTTGTGTCCATTCACAATAAAGGTAGTAGGGAGGAGTCAGGAAACTATAGGCCAGTAAGCCTTACTTCACTAGTGGGGAAAGTAATGGAAACCATGTTAAAGGATAGGATTGTTGAACAACTAAAATCACATGGATTTTAAGATCAGATTATGTTTTTATTTTGATTGGGTAACTAAAATAATAGATCAGGGTGGTGCAGTAGACATTGCCTAACTAGATTTCAGTAAGGCCTTTGACACTGTTGCACGTAGAAGGCTTATCAATAAACTGCAATCTTTATGTTTGGATTGTTGAATGGGTAAGGCAGTGGCTGAGTGACAGGCAACAGAGGGTTGTAGTCAATGGAGTATATTCGAAGCATGGTCTTGTCACCAGTGGGGTACCTCAGGGATATGTACTTGGACTTATTCTCTTTAATATTTTTAACAGTGGTATTGCAGATGGTAAAGTATGTCTTTAACAGGGTTGATGTTCCAGGAGGGATAAACCAAATGGCAAATGATTTAGGTAAAGAGTTGTGGCAGCTGACATTTAATGTGGATAAGTGGAAGGGCAGAGTTCAGAATATTTGATAGAGACATCTGAGGAAAGGGATTTAGGGGTAATTATTTCAAATTACTTAAAGGTAGGCAGACAATGTAATAGAGTAGCAAGAAATGCTAGCAGAATGCTTGGTTGTATAGGGAGCGATATTAGCAGTAGAAAGAGGGAAGTGCTCATGCAATTGTACAGAACGCTAGTGAGACCTCACTTGGAGTATTGTACGCAGTACTGGAGACCGTATGTCCAGAAGGATATTTATACTTTAGAGAGAGTTCAGAGAAGGGCTACTAAACTGGTTCATGGATTGCAGGATAAAACATACAAGGAAAGGTTAAAGGAACTTAACATGTATAGCTTGGAGGAAAGATGACAGAGGGGATATGATAACATTTAAATACATAAAGGGAATCAACACAGTAAAGGAGGAGACTATATTTAAAAGAAGAAAAACTACCACAACAAGAGGACATAATCTTAAATTAGAGGGGCAAATGTTTAAAAATAATATCAGGAAGTATTATTTTACTGAGAGGGTAGTGGATGCATGGAATAGCTTTCCAGCTGAAGTGGTAGATGTTAACACAGTAAAGGAGTTTAAGCATGCGTGGGATAGGCATAAGGCTATCCTAACTATAAGATAAGGCCAGGGACTAATGAAAGTATTTTGAAAAGTGGGCAGACTAGGTGGGCCGAATGGTTCTTATCTGCCGTCACATTCTATGTTTCTATATATAATTTATCTCATAAATTTGATATATTAGCAAGAGAACAATTTTCAAGGCAAAATAGCTTTCTTAGTAGTATACAGGGTGGAAGAAATATCTAGTCAGTATTTTTGTTGAATAGTTTCTAACTATAACTACTACAGAGCCTATGCATGCTTCTACTTTTCAGAGGTCCGATGTTGTTCTATGTACCCTCCTTGTTTTATTGAATGCATGTAATATTATAATTTACGGAGATTGTGGATTTGGGGTTTTCATGAGCTGTAAGCCATAATCATCGCACTTATGACAAATCACGGCTTGAACTATCTTGCTTTGCATGTAATGCGTCTATCTCATATAATAGTTTCCCCTTTTACGTTGCATTACTGAAATAAATGAACTTTTGCACAATATTCTAATTTTTCGAGTATCACCCGTATATGCGGCATTTGAGAACATCGCACATTTTAATTTTAGTCTTGTAGGATATAACAAACTAACTAGGCCTATCGCAGTTATACTGTAGTCACAAGAGAAAAACATTGTGTCGTTTGGTAGGTCCTACACATCTAAGCTTTAAACATTAATTAATGACAACTAGTGCGTAGGTGGACACTAGTGGGAGCGACAGTGATGAGGGAATGTACCACATAGCCTTCAGTTGTGACACTGGCTTGGGCATAGGGGCTAAGTACGTTATGTTTGGGCGTTCTCGTCTTTACCAGTTATGTGCCCTATATTTGCATGTGCGGTATGAGTGTGGTCTATGACCCCTAAGGGGATGACACTATAAAACTGGGAGATGGAACATAAACATGTGCTATTCAGAACTTCTTATATATTAGTTAAAGAAATAGAGAAAAATAACATTTGCTCCTGTGGACTTTTTTTTTTTTTTTAAATTAAGTTGGAATCAAGTGGCTGCTATTGGGGCACCTCTCCTTCGGGGTACGAAGGGGACAGTCCTTGTGGGGTCCCATGTGTGAGAGGTGGAAGGTGTGTCAGGTGGACCAGTTCCTGCTGGGAGCCCCAACGCTTGAAGGAAGGAGTCTGCCTCCTTTATAGAGGTGAGTTTCAGAGTGGTGCCGTTGTGGTCAACTGACAGGGTTTTAGGTATTGTCCAACGGTAGGTCATATTGGCGTCTTGTAGTCGGCGGGTCACTGGGCCCAGAGTTCTCCTCTACTGGAGGGTGGAACTGGTCAGGTCCTGATAGAAGGTGAGACTGTTGGATTTGAAGTCCCTCGTTATAATGCATTTAGTAAACCAAAGACTATAACCTGGGTATCCTTTAAGACAGGGGTGGGGAACGTCTGGCCCGTAGACCATATAAGGCCCGCAAAATCATTTGGACCAGCCCGTGGAGAGCCGGTCCTGCTGTCTGCCTTTTTTAAGCCGGTGGGGAGATCAAAGATAGAGTTTTCTTTTCCTCCTTTTAAGTAAAAAAAAATAAAATATAGATTTTCTCCCTGATCCACAATATAGACCCTGACACACACTACACCATCTCACACACATACTGCACCCCTCACACAGACACACTGCATCCCCTCTCACATGTACTCTGCACCCCTCACACAGACACACTGCATCCCCTCTCACATGTACTCTGCACCCCTCACACAGACACACTGCATCCCCTCTCACATGTACTGTGCGCCCCTCACACAGACACACTGCATCCCCTCTCACATGTACTCTGCACCCCTCACACATGTACCTGCATCCCTCCTCACATGCACCTGGGCCCCCTCACACACACACACTGCATCCCCTCCTCACATGTACCTGCACCCCCCACACATACACACTGCATCCCCTCTCACATGTACTCTGCGCCCCTCACACAGACACACTGCATCCCCTCTCACATGTACTCTGCGCCCCTCACACAGACACACTGCATCCCCTCTCACATGTACTCTGCGCCCCTCACACAGACACACTGCATCCCCTCTCACATGTACTCTGCACCCCTCACACATGTACTCTGCATCCCCTCTCACATGCACTCTGGGCCCCTCACACAGACACACTGCATCCCCTCTCACATGTACTCTGCACCCCTCACACATACACACTGCATCCCCTCTCACATGTACTCTGCGCCCCTCACACAGACACACTGCATCCCCTCTCACATGTACTCTGCGCCCCTCAC